GATATACAAAGAAAACTATACAACTGGCAATACGAGCATCTTACAGTTCCGTGAGAGTCATGTGCAATCTTTATTGCTTGGTGTACCATCCGAGAATCTGAAACCTGGTTCAAGAGAACAATCAACAAGTTCATTGAAGCGCAAACTAGCTGATCATGAGCTCGAAGAAATGGAAGGATCGACACGCAATGTAGGAAGACGCTGTGCTGGTTGTTACGAGAAAAACAGGGAACAACAATCAAGAGAAGCTTGTCATTCAACAACGAAGAAAATAAAAACTTTCTGTTCTGATTGTAACAAATTTTATTGTCTTGATTGTTTTAATGAGAAGCATCACGGTATGCAATAAATAATTCAAACAATAAGGAAGGCAGAGCAGATGACATATTACGTGTGACTTCCCTCCCCAGGTCGAACAATCCCATACTCGGATCCAATACAGAATTTTATCAGTTCCTACAGGAATTCGACGGATCCGATGAAATCCTAGTGACGGAATCGCATTGGATTCCGACGGTCTCGGATCCGATCGGATCCCACGTCGGATTTGTTGACCTGGGTCCCCCGCTTAAAAAGAAAAGAAAAGAAAGTGTTTTTCTATTAAAATTTTTGTTAAAATACAGTGGGGCCCACCGGTGTGCCCCATCGACTCGAAAGGGTTAAAATAAAAACGCAGATTCTATTTATTTCTCATACTTTTTCCCCGTATATTTCATCGGAAGTAAAATAATTAAATATCTATATTTATACACTCAATTGAAAACAGTAATTACAACAGTGCTTTATATTCTCGTAAATAAATTCATCAAAAAAAGTAGAACATGACGTGTTTATTTACGTAGTTCCAGTTTTTCAAGATACAAATACATTCTTCGTGTCAATACGATATTAGACAAAGATTGGGGGTACCAAAATCTACATAATTTCATATTCTACAGGCGAAATTTAACAAATATGTTTGTGTCTGTACAATAGTATAAGATGGTTATATCATGAATTTCTTCTTTAGTTACGGTAAATTGAGTTTATTTCTAAATGAATATCCTGTAAAACAAGACAAGAGAAACTGAGAAAATGTTTTTTCTTTCTCGATTGTGTCGATATTATATTTGAATACCAAACGATGATGATGATACGTGTTGTCAGGTGGATTGGTAAACACCTTTCTACACTCAATTGGTTCGAATCAGATACGAATGACTTTGAAACAGTACGACGTGAACGTTTATCTACGCGTGTTTATATTTGTTTAATCATAATTCTGTCTGCTGTTTTGATTATTTACACTGGTTTTAAAATTCGCACCGATGTTCTTATGATTAATCATCCAAATCTTGATCAATTCGAACATTTATTCGAACATTTCAGTGCTACTCTTCGATGTTCGTGTTCACAAATAGCGATTCCTTACGAAACATTCGTAAAAGCTGTAGTGCACTTTCATCCAGTATGTTCAAGTTCTTTTGTTTCATTTGATTGGATTCGATCAGTCTATGCAGCGAATATTACCTATATTTGGCCAATGGATACGCGTACGATGTTAAGTGCATTTTGGCAATTGATTTCTGCCTTTTGTCGAAATATAGACGAGATCGTGACAAATTCAATTTCAGATTATAACGCGTCGACAATATTCAGTCCACAAGTCTTTTCATCGATTGAAGTTGAAACACGAGCAAAAACATCTCTCGATTTGGTTTTAACTTCAGCTCAGACTGCAATAGCACGAACTTTGCTCACTATTCGTCGTGTAATCTCCGGTAATCAACTTATTTCTGGTTTATCTACAAATGCCAATCTGCAAACCAGTTACTCATCACAAAAAAGCCAATGGCAAGTAATTCCTAAAATGAATGTTTATGATAATTGCTCATGTATGAACATGAACAGCTGTGTCAAACCATCTGGTTTGTATCAATATGATACATGGAATACGAACGGTATTTACAATGACATCAGTTTTAACACGAGCGTACTAGGAATGATGTTTGATTGCTATCCAATTGACGCTGTGCTTGCTTCGACATTACAATGCTATTTTACATCAAATTGTTTGGAACGAATACATCCGACAATGAATGTTACACCATTATCGTTGACATCATCTTCACAATTTGATATTAGTTCGACTATTCAAACAATACTTGATGAATTATTTATTGACAGAGTCGAAGTTCAAACATCATTTGTCTCGTACTATACACACTGTAGTCCTTCGATATGTACGTACATTTATTCGCGACGGTTCGATGGAGTCTTCATGTTCACCTCAGTTGTTGGTATTATGGGAGGAGCAGCCGTCATTCTCAAATTGCTCTCACCATTGCTTGTCAAAGGAGCTTTGCTCGTCAAACAACGATTTCAATCCACACGACCCGTCGTTGAATCCATTCATCCAAATTCTCACACTCATAGTGAGTTTGAAAGAGACGAATCTGATCTTTAAATGTGATATTTTGTTCTAGAACAAACATTCATTTTCTTGCTTCGGTCTACACCAAATCGAATACTTGAACAATGCTCAAGACTGAACATATTTGATACCTACACTCGCGATGCGAATGTTCTGTATCGTCAACGAATGGCCACTCGTGTTTACTTTGTTTGTTTATTCATCTCTATTATTATTTTGGGTTTTTACACATTATTTTCTGTCGAAATCAAAAGTATTTCAATGTCCTTTCCATCACAGGATACGTTTACTGATTTATATGCCAAACATCGTGATTCACTCAAATGTGAATGTTCGCAACTATCGATCAGTTACAGTGAGTTTATTCAGATTACACCTTCAATGCATCAGCTTTGTTCGAGTGAATTTATTTCTCCAACATGGTACAATCAGTTTTTTCAACAAAATCTGTCGTTGTCTTACTACTCGAACGTATACGATCCTATTTGGCCTTTATACTTTCCACTACTTCAATCGTTTTGCTTTCTCATCAATCGTACAATTACTGATTCACTAAATGAGTTTGCTGCCACGTCTTTCATCAATAATGAAATTTTACCTCGATGGCAATTTGATCAACAAGCACAAATACTCATTGATACATTTACTAACTCGACTGTAAGCGAATTTACACGTATGTTTGCTTTGATACGAAATGCAACTGCAGCCAGCCAATTTGTCATTGTGCCCAATTCTAATGGACAGTTCACTGTAAGATCAGATGGTCAAATAATCATACATATAAACAACTGGGCAATTTTCGATTTTAATAATCCAGGTTCTTCTGTCTTATCTTGCACTTGTAACTCTGATACTAGTGATTGTGTGCAAACGCAACGTATTTATGATAATTCATCTGCATCTTTCTACTACTTAACAGGATTATACATCGGCTGTTTAACAATGGATGGTTTGATGGTTTCTACACTTGAATGCTGGTTTGATTCAATCTGTTTTAATAAAATTCGCCGATGGTTATTTGAAATACTAAATACTGATTTGTTGAATATTACACCATTAGATGTCAATCTTCCTAGTCGTTTTCCACCTCGAACACCGATCAATCAGTTAATGAATGAATTATTTCTTGAAAATTGGAATATCAATACTTCATATGAAAAGTTTTACTCTACTTGTAAACCTAAATCGTGTGATTATACAGAGGAAGAACGATATGATATTATTTATGCTCTATTGACGATTATTGCTACCTCTGGTGGTTTGAGCAAAGGATTAAAGATGGTAGTACCATGGATTGTACGACTTGCATTGATTTGTTTTAGATGGAAATGTAAGAAAACAAATCAAGAGCAGAATAATACGACAGTCACGCGGACATTTCCTGTGTACGAACGATTCAGGCTAAAACTGTTATCTGTTAATTGGTTTGGTACTCGTTCAAGTACAATCGAGACATTGCATCGTGAACGTCTTTATACACGAATTTATATAGTACTTTCATTGTTATTTATATCGATATTAATTATATTTACAGGTCTCTCTCAACGAAGTGATACAAAATCTGTAGCGAATCCTTCGATAGAAGAGTATGAACGATTAGAAAGCCTCTATACCGATACTCTTCAATGTCCTTGTTCGAAAATAGCTCTCGCTAATCGGTTGTTTATTACACAACTAGAAGCAACTTTGCATCCGGTGTGTTTGAGTAGTTTCGTCAACGGTCATACTCCTTGGATCTATTGGATCAGTGGAAGAGGTTATGTCATGGACTGGGTTTATTCGTCTGATTTTCGCCGATGGGGAAGTGCATTTTTTATTTGGATCGGATCATTTTGCACGTTAGCGAATATCACTATAAAGAGTGCTGTGACAAACTTTCAATCGGAATCTCTTCTTGTGAATCAACCAATGACTCGTACTCAATTTGAATATCAAATCAACCTGCAAATTGATCGATTTTTAAATGATACACGCAGTAGTTTTGTTCAAACACTCAAATTCTATCAAGATATTATACAAGGAAATGCTCTGATGTCATTTTATGCGACAAATTGGATCCCAGTGTCAAAACAACAATACAATACGAGTGATAACACGATTCGTGTTGAACCAATCACCTACAATTCATCGTGTTCTTGTGCCACCTCACACTCTTGTCTGGAGCCCGCTGGCATCTACGCATGGGATGGAACATTGCTCTATGTAGTCGAAGGTGTTCAACATGGTTGTTCTTTGCTTGAATCATATTTAGCATCATCCCTTTCGTGTTTTTATTCAAATTCCTGTTTAGTTTCATTGTTTGCGGCAACAGCACTTGGTTATCCGAATGATGCGAACTCAACACCATGGAATAGCCCTTACTATAGACCAAACTTTCAGCCATTGAACAGATCATCCATACAGCATTTCTCGATCAATGATACTTTTTCGACTATTGTCAACGAACTTTTCATCGATACTTGGTCCATCAACATATCGTACGAGTCATTTTTTAACGAATGTGCAGCCCGTTATTGTACTTATTCAATCGTACGACGTTTTGATTTTCTTTACGTAGTGACAACATTTCTTAGTCTTTTCACTGGAATATCATTTATTCTTCGTCTTGTCATACCTCGGCTAGGAATCATCGTGATTTTATTGAAAACTCGAATACGTATTAAACCAGTGATGGGATCGGTTCGATTTCAAACCGAACCGAACTAAACCGAACCGAGTCGATTCGGTTCGGTTTGAATTTGAATTATTCCTAGTGAACCGAACATAATTTTTCTTAGCGTTAATTAATAAGAGCCGCACAGAAATATATAGTCAGAATAAAAAGATGTCATCCAAAGTAGAAACAGTGAGATTCATCTAATTGGAATGTCTCGTA